AGACAATTAATGTTCGTGAACATTTTTTTCCAAAATTTTACACTGTTTAGGGAAAACAAATTAAATATTTAATTACCAATTGCTTAATACTGGCAGACAATCATCTGACCCATAGGTGGCAGCCATCTCAAGCCAGAGGACGAGAGGACTCTAGCCGCCACGTATATAAAGGATTTATAGTGAAAAACTTTGTTTTTACGGGTTATACTTATTCTTCCTGGATTCTCTCTGGAGTCATTCTCTGGGTGGAGGCGATTCGAGCACTACACTCTTTGGCACTGGGCTACTTAAAAGTTGGGCAATGCAACTCCCCAGCCCCCCTCCCCCCACAAATATTATCAGGGCAGTCAAGCAGAGTAAATATATATTTAAATAGCTCCACAATATTCTTAGGTTTTTTCGGTAAAGTCACTGTGTAGGTAAAAACATTAAAAAGTAAAATAAAATAAAATCACGACGTTTCGGAGGCAACACAAGCTTCCGTCTTCAGGTGGTACCGTCACAGCCACGACAGCTGTATCAAGTACATGAGAGATTGCAGGAGCTACCACCATTATATAAACGGAGTGGTAGCTCCTGCAATCTCTCATTTACTTGATACAGCTGTCGTGGCTGTGACGGTTCCACCTGAAGACGGAAGCTTGTGTTGCCTCCGAAACGTCGTGATTTTTATTTTATTTTTTAATGTTTTTACCTACACGGTGACTTTACCGAAATAACCTAAGAATATGAATCATTGCAGTCACGAAAGCTTCAAATCTAGCTCCACAATAGTACCATTGATCATGTTTATTTATCTGCATTGCAACTTACTCAATGATCGTATTACCTTTAATCAGACAATCTCATCGAAGTGGACATCATTTGATCATTGGTGGGTTTCGTCACGGTCAATCATATTGAGTTACAGTAAAACCTTGGATTGCGAGCATAATTCGTTCCGGAAACGTGTTTGTAATCCAAAGCACTCGTATATCAAAGCACTCGTATATCAGTTGTGATCACGTGACGCTCGGCAGACAGAACGTACTACTCGTATAGCAAGACCTCACTCGTTTATCAAATTAATATTTGTTTTTAAAAAATTGCTCGTCTTGCAAAACACTCGCAGACCAAGTGACTCGCAATCCAAGGTTTTACTGAACTTCATCATCCACTCTTAGTTGTGGTTCACCAAGATTTCTATAGTAACACTTCATCGGTCAACATTTTGGTAATTATCTACACATCTCTACACTGACAAAGGTTCATGACCATGCGTGCAATTCACGGGACACTGGACAGCAGGTGCTCACATTCGAAAAAACCACAGACTCGGTAATTCATATCCGTTATTAATGTTTTAATGTTCGGCATCTGCACAACCGCAACAGACGTCAAATAAACTTTACCATCAAAATATACGAAATGTATAAACACTTGAACACGTGGTAGCAGTAGGAAGCTTTTGCCACCAACTTTATCCATGAATGCCACTAGTTTTTTTATTATTCTAGTATGCATTACCTCCACAAGCGTGCACACACACACACACATTGTACCCAGGTTTAATGAGATCTCATCGCAGAGAGAAACGTCGCTCTGCAAAAACTAATTCTGGAAGACACACACAAACACATTGTACCCAGGTTTAATGATATCTCATGGCAGAGAGAAACGCCGCTCTCCCAAAAACTCATTCTTGAAGACACACACACACACATTGTACCCAGGTTTAATGAGATCTCATCGCAGAGAGAAACGCCGCTCTGCCAAAAACGAATTCTTGAAGACACACACACACATTGTACCCAGGTTTAATGATATTTCATCGCAGAGAGAAACGTCGCTCTGCCAAAAACTAATTCTTGAAGACACACACACACATTGTAACCAGGTTTAATGATATCCCATTGCAGAGAGAAACGTCGCTCTGCCAAAAACTAATTCTTGAAGACACACACACACACATTGTACCCAGGTTTAATAATATCTCATCGCAGAGAGAAACGCCGCTCTGCCAAAAACTAATTCTTGAAGACACACACACACATTGTACCCAGGTTTAATGATATCTTATCGCAGAGAGAAACGCCGCTCTGCCAAAAACGAATTCTTGAAGACACACACACACACACATTGTACCCAGGTTTAATGAGATCTCATTGCAGAGAGAAACGTCGCTCTGCCAAAACTAATTCTTGAAGACACACACATACACATTGTAACCAGGTTTAATATCTCATCGCAGAGAGAAACGTCGCTCTGCCAAAAACTAATTCATGAAGACTTTTTTTGCAACTCAGTCCTTTAAACAGTTGGCGCTCATACCGCACAGAAACACCAACTCAATTATCTGGGAACCAGACTGATGATAATGTTAAAACATTTTTTTTTGCCGAGATTTCAACACAGCTAAAACTTCCCTCAAGGTAATGGTGGGGAGTGCCGTTCTCTCCTTTGCCATTTCCCAACCGCAAAGTTTTCATCGCGGGGTCTTGTAATCTTATAACTTGCGATACCAAAGCGCACAGCAGCCCAGCTCTCAACAGCATGAACAATTCGATGTGGGCGAGTACTATGACTTGCTCTCAAACACATCCTGCTGCGGAGGGAGCTGGTAGGAACGTTGGGTTGCTCGCTCAATGGCCTGCAGGGTCAACGGCGGCGTGGTGTATTCCGCAAATATGCCCGACTGTGAGGGCGGGCACAAGCCGGCGTGAGTAGGTTAAACGTTGAGTTTTATAAGGGCACCACGGGGTGACCAGCCCCTCCCCCACCCCTCCCACCCCTCTCCACCCACCCCCCCATCAAGCCCCTACCCACCCAGCCCCTCCCCACCCAGCCCCTACCCACCCTCCCCTCTCCACCCAGCCCCACCCCTCCCACCCCCCCATCCAGCCCCTAACCACCCAGCCCCTCCCCACCCCAGCCCCACCCCTCCCACCAGCCCCACCCCACCTAGCCCCTCCCCCCACCTCCCCTCTCAACCCAGCCCCACCCCTCCCATTTTGGATGCACGACGGACGGACAGACACAATAATCCCCTGTGGGCTGGTGAAACCAGGTGGTTCCTACCAGTATCACATTGTAATGTCATTGTGGCCTTCCTGCAGCCAGTAGAATCTGCGCTGTGGGATACATCGATGGACTGGCGGGACCGCGCCCACATCTCAGTACGATCACTGCACTGTGGAAATGTGGCCGTCGTTAAAGATTTAAAAGTGAATGTTAACGGCAAAATAACGGTGCTGTAACTCTCTTTACGACGAAACCCACATCTCCCAACATTTGTACAGTGCAAGAAAGTTACATTTTGCCATTTCGTCACGAGAACCACGTGAAGGTTACACAATGCTCGTAGCTTAACAACGTTCACGGAGCCTTTGTGATTGCTGCCAATGTGAAGTGAGAACAAAGATGGAAAAACGAGCGGTCATTTCCAATCAACCCTGCCTGCTGGTCCAGCATCTTGTTTGTAGACAAAAATAAACCACCGGTTTTCTAAAAGCAACTGCCGCAATAATTACACAATAATCACCACAAAACAACCGACTTCTCTCACAACGGAGGCAGTATTCTCACACAAGACGATTGCCTTGCTCAAAAGAAAACGCAACGCAAAATGGGCTCGGAACAAAATTCTGAACAAGCGTTTAAAGGCCCCCAAAATAAATAAAAAAGAAAAATAAATACAGAAATATTGAGCGACGCTTTTCAAAATACGAGATTTTTGTTTACAATGTCCCTGAAGGACACACACACACAGCCACGTTAACACGGACGCTCGCAAGGGGGGCCACGTGAACACGAGTTCGTGTGTGCTGGGGGGCAGCCGTCATTTGAACAGGAAGAGAACCAACGAAAAACAACGCATCCTCCAGTAAAACCCTATTCAAGAAACACCAATTTCGATTTAAAGCTTTCGTGACTGCAGGGATTCATCTTCTTGTTTCTTTCGGTAAAGTCACGTAGAAGGGAAGTAATAAAATAATAAAATAAAATAAAACATATAAAACAATTCTCACGACGTTTCGCTTGCGTTGTAGCCGAAACGTCGTGAGAATTGTTTTTATGTTTTTTTTTATTATTTTATTACTTCCCTTCTACGTGACTTTACCGAAAGAAACAAGAAGAAGAAACACCAAGTTAAATGTGACTTGTGTAAAACATATCTTTGAAACAACAAGCTTCCGAGTAAAACATGCATCACCACTGGAACCTCATTTGCCAGTAAAAAATATAATTGGTTTTTTACCCTTCTATCTGGCAACAAAACTGACACCTTTTTTACAAGGAGTCATGTTTGCATAGACCGCAATACCTGCAGTCATAATGCAAACAAAAAACACAACTCTGATAATGTGTGCAGTCCTTGAAGTTGATTGGTCCACACCCATGTGAGACTAGGCTCTAAGGAAAGCTGTCTCAGATGTGGACCAATCTACTTCAAGGACAGTGCATACATTATCAGAGTTATGTTTTTGTTTGTTTTATTTTTCGATTTAAAGCTTTCGTGACTGCAGGGATTCATCTTCTTGGTTCTTTCGGTAAAATCACGTAGAAGGGAAATAATAAAATAATAAAAATAAAACATAATAAAATAATTCTCACGACGTTTCGGCCACAACGCAAGCAGCCGTCCTCAGGTGAAAACCAGGTCTGTCCCTTTGATGCTGAATTAGTACTATTCACATACCTGCATTTCCCATATCCTCTCCCTTTGATGCTGCTAATCCTGCATAATGCACAGGCATAAGTAGTACTAATCACATACCTGCATTTCCCATATTCTCTCCCTTTGATGCTGCTAATCCTGCATAATGCACAGGCATAAGTAGTACTAATCACATTCCTGCATTTCCCATAAATATGCTAAATTCCTCTTGATATGCAAATTCCTTTGTCAAGGCACCCAGCTTATATACATGCTCCAAGCTCGTGTACTCTTTTGTTTGTATTATGACTGCAGGTATTGTGGTCTATGCAAACATGACTCCTTGTAAAAAAAAGGTGTCAGTTTTGTTGCCAGATAGAAGGGTAAAAGAACAATTATCAAAACATGCATGGTTAGCCCAATTAGATATTAGATGACAATCTGATTCATCTTCATCGCACTCGCGGTGGTCACGTGACCGATCTCCGTAACCAGGTTGGGATTCGACGTGGAAATTGATTTTTCGGAGCCGCTCGCTGCGACGCATCCCGCCTTTCGGCAGCTCAGGATGCGCTTGAAAGTGGCGATCATCTCCGTGTCCCGAAACGAGTAGATGATGGGGTTCATGGCGGAGTTGAGCTCCGCTATGAGCAAGAAGTACTTCTCGAAGGCCAGGACGTTGCAGTCCGAGCAGAAGGAATCCAGCAGCAGAATCACCAGGCCCGGCGTCCAGCACAATAAAGGCTCCTGGGAGAGACGGCACGAGCCATTTTTGGCAGCGACGCGTGGAACAAGACCAGCCTTGATAATTGCTTTTTTTTTACCCTTTTATCTGGCAACAAAACTGACACCTTTTTTTACGAGGAGTCATGTTTGCATAGACCACAATACCTGCAGTCGTAATGCAAACAAAAAAACAGTTGTGCGCCTTTTGGCGCTCTGGTCCAACACCATGTGAGACTAGGCTCTAAGGAAAGGTGTCTCGGGTGTGGACCAATCAACTTCAAGGACAGTGCGTACATTATCAGAGTTATGTTTTTTGTTTGCATTATGACTGCAGGTATTGTGGTCTATGCAAACGTGACTCCTTGTAAAAAAGGTGTCAGTTTTGTTGCCAGATAGAAGGGTAAAAAAACAATTATCGTGAATCGTGTTGTCGAATGTTCTGCCCAGACAGACCCACAACGCTTACCCAACATGATGGTGACCGTTACGAGCAAGCTCACGGGGGCGTCTTGCCTCCGGGAGCACCTGGAGCTATTCTGCAGCACGGGTATCCTGTCCCTCCACATGTTCACGAAGATGTGGCCGTAGAGCCCCGCCATGATGAGGAACATGGAGAGGTTGTAGCCGGCCCAGAAGGCGACGTAGCTGGCGCTGTACAGCGGCGCCATGGTGGAGCACGTGCCGACGTCGCAGACGCAGTTCCAGCCCATGGTGGGCATGGCGCCGGCGATGATGGCCACGAGCCAGATGATCGCGACGACCGTCACGACGCGCCGCTCGCTCATCCGCTGCATCCGGAACAGCGCGACGTGGCGCTCGATGGCGATGACCAGGAGGCTGGCGACGGAGGCGGTGAGGCTCGTGTTGATCAGCCCCTGGCGCAGCATCCAGGTCTCCAGCGACAGCTTGCGAGTGTTGGGCCCCGTGTTGACAACCAGGTAGATGTACGCCACTCCGGCAAATAAATCCGCCGCGGCCAGGTTGGCCATGAGAAAGTAGACGGGGTGGTGGAGTGTCTTGTTGATGTACACGGCGAACATGACGAGGGCGTTGGCCAGAATGATGCCGAGGCACAAGGTCAGGCCGAGCACCATGACCAGCGTGCTGGTGAAGGACCACTCGTCGTAGAGCGGCTTGTTGCTGTTGCGGTAGAAGAATGCGATCGTCTCGTTGTGGTGGCAGCTGACGTCCATCTCGTTCTCGCGTTGTGTTTCCCACGTCCAAGCACACCTGCAAAGCAAAGATTATTTAAAGGAAACCAACACCAATCGAGACTAGGCTCTAAGAAAAGCTGTCTGGGGTGTGGACCAATCAACATCAAGGACAGTGCATATCATTATCATCATCAGAGTTGTTTCTTTTTGTTTGCATTTTGACTGCTTGTGTTGTGGTTATTGCAAACATGATGCCTTGTATAAAGGTGTCAAGTTTTTGTACCAGTTTAAAGGGTAAAAACCTACTACTAAAGAGCTGTTGTTATACAATTACATCTCGATAGCGTTCCTCCTCTGAGCGTCATGATCATAGACAATGGCACCATCTTATTATCTGCACTGGCGTCCGTGACTGATTGCCCTATTTAATGACCCCCAGGGGAATGTGACTCAGGGTCGTGAAAAGAGGTGATGTCATCTTGTCACACTGCCGATACATGTGTACGCACACGCGTGTACATGTATAGGAACTCTCGCATCATACATGTACAGTCCGCTTGAATAATTCCACTGCTGGATGATGACCTCCGCACACGTCTTGTGGGTCGGGTCAAGAGCGATATTTGACTATACTTCACCACGCTGGTCAGTGGGGTTTGTGGTGGAGTGGTGGTGGGGAGTGCAGTACACCAATAGGGGTTTCTGCACTGCCAACTGCTGTCTACAACGCCCACAGCACCTTTATACTGCACGTGGTGGTGGTGGTCAACCCATCCAAAGCACTTCTGACACAAACCCTGCTTAGCTTACAAAATCGGAAAAGGCTGCGTGCATTGTGAGTGATCTGGTCAAAGGCTACGTGTGACATCAGCACACTAACATTGCATACATAACACTGGTCAACACACTTTTTGTGGCATAAGGTATTCCAACGGTGTTAAGGTCATTTTGGGGTGCTGATGATTCCAAATCTGGCATCAGTTTTTGTCCATCACATCAGTTTTTGAGATATTATCAAATATTGCATTTTCAATAAAAACGGCAGAATAAAAATATTAAATAAATGTGGATATCTACATAAAATGATATTATATGCACACTCTCCTAAAAATACAGCACCGTATTTTAACACTAAAGCAGTCACTGACTCGCAACAACTTGCAATCATAAGTGACAGAGTTAATCGGGTAAAATCAATGAAAATGGGGTATGCCGATAGCATAAAAAATAGACGTGATAGAGCAAATCTGAGATCAGATTTAGAATCGGCACCCTGAAATTAGCCTAGAACAGCTGCAACAGTCCAGGCCAGAAAACATGTTTTTGTTGTTGTTGACCAGTGTAATTAACGCGGCTTGCAATTTAGGAAGAAATGCCGCATTACACGTAACAATGTCATGGTTTCTAGCACAGATTCTCTTCACGTGAGAGTTGGGGACAGACTAAAAGGGGGTTTGAACAAGGCGAGCCCTGGCTACCTGTGGCGTTCACCCTCTACACGATAACAAACGCAACGCAAACCTCACAGAATCCTGTCATTGTTGAGCAGCGTCTCTTAGGATTAGCACATGGCCAGTAGGCAAGGCAAGGTCAAAACAAGCTGACCTTTACCCGACCTTTGACCTCACCCCTCGGCACACAGACACCTTTACCCTTTGACCCCTCTGCAGGCAGTCGACGGAGAAGTGGCGGGAAGAAGGGCCCAGGCTGCGCACGTGTTGGCTCAGGCGAGGCCCGGATGTGGATGTCAGGGCCCCGGATGTCAGGGCCCCGGATGTCAGGGCCCGTGGACACGTGACGCAGGAGGCGTGGCCAGGGGGCGGGGCTCGGGGGAGAGAAGATGAAAGGGGGCGGGGCGAAGGGGTCAGTCACGTGACCTGGGTCTCTGTGAGTCTGTGGGTCTCTGTGAGTCTGTGGGTCTGTGTGAGTGTGTGTGAAAATATAAGAATAGATTTACCCTATTCTTATGCATTATCTTTCATTATCCTATGGGCATAAATAAAGTTGGGCCAGTCTGCCAAAAGTCACGTTATATATACATTCTTTCTCTGTTATGGCAGAAAAAGAACATGCTGTTCTCGTGAATCAACCTGTTTTCATTGCATTCGTTCACGAATGTAGCACCTTATACTGGCACAAAAAGACAGCTTGGTGTGGAGTCAAAAGGGATTATCCCAGTAAAATACGATCAACTCCACCACGACAGCGATCGCTGCGCACGTCAGCTACATGAAGTATGATCTGTGTTTTGATTTAGTGCGCTGATCTTAAAGGTGCATTGAAAATGTTGATACTCCGACTGATGCTCCTGCTGTTGTGGAGTGACTCATGCAGCCAGCTATGGCTGCAGGGTTCTGGTGGTACATGTTGTTTACGTCGTTTATTGTGAAAATTTCGGTCACAGTTCCTATGATCACTGTTTCATTGCTTTTATGGCTTGATTTTGGTTTCGAAAGTTTTTTGGTTTGGGCCATGTTTGTTTGTTGTAGTACGAGTTAGACTGATGGCCTTAATCTAAGTTTCTTTGGTTGTTT